GATTCGATGGTGATTGGGAGTTTCTTCCCAGTGGAAAGTGAAAAAGAGCTAAGAGAGACATCACTGAGATCCTAGGTTCTTTGGTGAATGGAAAGTCAAGGCCCGAGGCCTGGCACGAACTTAGGGTGTCCTTAGAAGACCAGCTTAGCATCCCCATCTTCTCAGAATCTAACAGAACCGCAGACTGGAGGCGGGTCACTGATGTGAGGTCTTTATCTTCTATCGAGGTCAGTCCTCTGGGATTTCAAAGAACCAATGGTGTCTTGAACTTTTGGAGGGAAAGTTTACGACTCTGTCTCAAGAGCATGGTATTTTGCATATGTAATTCGATTGGGTGTTGATGCAAAAACTACTAAAGATTCTTAGAACACTAATATATTGCCTATGTACCAACAGATAATATACACTCTCGTTTAGATCATCAGAAGACGAATTCATAGATACTAAACATGGTATAGGTAAGATTACATGAACGAGTGGTTCTAAGATAAGCATGCATAAAACAGTATACAATATACAAGAACAGTAATAATAAACAAAAAGGACCTGGGTATATGCGTGTTCATTTAAATAAAGGTTTGTCTATTAATTAATTAGAGAACAGTCCATTTCTCTGGGCATTGTGTCTTTCCTATGAGGAAAATGAGTGAGAGTTGGGCAATAAAACCAGTGATATCAGCATTGGTTGCCATGGAACCAGAGGCCTGTTCTGCCTTTCTGAGGTGTTAGATGCATTTCGGAGGAAGGGTCCATAGACCCTCGTAGTTGGTTTGTTGATTGAGGTGTGTTACAGAGTATTTGTTAAATATAACTAAAACAATTGTGTCTGATTGGTCCAGACGCTACAAACATCTCATTGTTACTGATTCATCATGCAGCTCAATGCATTATGGGTAGAATCGCTTGTCATTCTATTCTGGTTCATCAACACAGTTTCACTGATGATCCAGACCAGACAGTAAACCCAGGATAGAGCGGCTGAGTGAATGTGGTCTGGACTGTGTGGATGAGGCTCATTGTGTCAGAGACGCTGTAGAAGGACAGAGTTTTGAGTTCAGCTCATGAAAAATGGGGGCAAAAACAAAAGTGTTGCGTTTATAATTTTGTTCAGTGTAGTTTGGATGATAAAACATCTGCTAAGAACATAAATGTCCATCTAACAGCTCAAGCACATCAATGGAGTCTCATTGTAGGGTTGAGTAGATCTGCTCAGGAAAAGCAGCTCAAACGCTACGATTAGATTGAGCATTATGGGAACACTTTACAATAGTGGTGCACTGATATGCATTAATTAATTCTTAACTAATGCACAGATAACCATGAGTCAATGCACAACTAAATCATTCATTAATGATCACTACATCAGCAACTAATAAAGAGTCTATCTGATTAATAGATTAAGTAATATATCAATTGTAATTTATTCAATTAATCAATTAATTAAAAGTGTCAACCTGTATTAAATCCTTAATAACATAGTATTAACTAATAGTGTAATTTAATGTGTTAATTACCACAATAGGTCAAAGCTATGCATTTCAACTTACAGTTATCTGCTTTAATTAATCATTAGCTAATGGTTTGCAAATATATCATTATGTTATGACTTTACTTGTTGAGGCACATACTGTATATTAACTCATTGTTAAGTATATGTCATTATGGTTAGGGGTTTTGCTATCCCCACCAAAGTTTGAGGTCTGTGGGACTGTTTGGACAGTTGCACAGTGAATGTAATGTCATAGAATATTTTTAAGGATGGGTAAGTTGAGCTGCACACGAATATTAGCGCAACAGAATCTGAACTACTAGACACTGAAACTTCACAAGGACCCATTTGAGCAAGATTTCCGGAGCTGAAAGCTATTAATTTCTTTCAAAAGAAGATGATCAAATGAAAGTCTGACTGATGATTATATAATAAGACACTCATGAAATGTTTCTCTGTGAGTCTCTGTCACAGCAGGATCTGCTCAAGTCCACTATGATCCTGTTCTTCTAGATCTCTGTTACCTGCAGGAACTGGATGTGATCCTGTGTGTGCTCCAGCTGCTCCAGCTCAGCGTCTCTCCTCCTCAGATCATTGATCTCCTGCTCCAGTCGCTCCAGTCGTCCTTCAGCTCGACTCACTGCAGTCTTCTCCTGATCTCTGATCAGCCGTATCATCTCAGAGATCCTCTCACTGTCCTCCACTGCTGTCTGTGCAGAACGCTGTTAGGACACACAGTGATTCAGGCTTCAGTGAGTCTGAACTGAGACGGAGACAAACTTCTCTTCTTCTCCAGACTCACCTTATGAGACTCCACAGCCTCTCTCAGCTGCTGAAGATCTTTCTCTCTCTGCTGGATTCTCTGCTGGAACGTCTTCTGCGTCTCCTTCAGCTGCTTCTGCAGGACAAACGGATGATAGTGAATCTCACAGAAAACTACTGGCTCTAAATCATCATGTGAACAGATGAATCCAGTAAAAGTGGAGCTCATAACTAATGACTGTAGCTTCACACTGACAGTGTTTCTGTGTTCTGCGTAATTAAGCTGCGGCTCTAGACAGAAAATAAATGAACAAAGTGAAGCTATAAATGACTGAAATAATCTGTATTCAGTCAGATTTACTGAACAGAAAGTCGTCTGTCACTGCATTTATACTGTATTTTGACTGATGGAAGTATATATGTTGTCAAAGAACGGGTGAATAGTTTACTCCTGTCACAACGCTGTGTTGTTAGTACACATGAACACTATGACGAAGGTTACAGGCAGCCTTTAATAAATCCACAGGCAAGATATATAAACAGAGAGAACTGCTACAACACATCTAAACACGGAAGAGACCCGACAGTTATGACGGGAAACAAACAAACTAAAGCACTAAATCAAACGAGGCTAATAAACCATACACACCTGAACTAAATGACAAAATCAATTTACTAACCATGACAATGAAAATGGTGCAGACTGAAAACAAACTCTGAATGTGTGACAACTCCATTATTTTATGTTGCTTAATCAAATCCTATTTTATGAAAGATTGTGTTGATGAAGGTTTACGGTGCATTTTCAGCAAACTCTTCTTGCAGCTGCTGTTCATTTGTATTTTCTTCCAGTACAGACGTCACACTGCACATCTCCTGCTCCAGCGTAACAGTCAGCAGGACGTTTCCTCTTCTTCAGTTTCTCCACCATTTCAGCCAAGATGGTATTTTTAGCTAAAGGAGGTCTTGGACTGAAGGTCTGTCTGCACTGAGGGCAGCTGTAGACTCTCTTCTGATCCTCATGATCCCAGCAGTCTGTAATACAGCTCATACAGTAACTGTGTCCACAGGGAATGGCCACTGGATCCTTCAGGAGATCCTGACACACTGGACACTTGAACTCATCCTGAGAAATTCTGGCTTCTGCCATTTCACCGCATGAATACAAAGACACAAACACACGACAGCTCAACTACAGTTTCTCTTTCCGTGAACGGATGAGTTGAAATAGTTTCCTGGTTCTGTGTTTGAGTGATGTTTGTAAAACAGGTTTGACTGCAAGTATGTAAAGCAGGTTCGTCATTCCTGCTTCTGCTGAGTTTAGCTTCAACACATCTGGCTGTTATTAAAGTAAATGCAAAGACCTTGACTAGTTGATTCAGGTGCATTTAATTAGAGATCAAACTAAACCCTGTGGGAAAGTGACTCTCCTGGACTAGGAATGGGGAACTCTTATAATGAAATATCTACTAGATGTCAGTCTCAGACAAACACTCAAAGAATATAAATTACAAACACATTATTCCTCTCTCCAGCATCTCCACTTTTATGCTTCTCACAGAAAATGGAGGAACTGGTTTATGCTGGGACCAAACTCTTTGCTGCAAGCCCCCAGATATCAACAAAACAACGGCGGGCCCCCCAACCACCAAAGCCTGTGGGCCCAGCTCCTGTAAGAGCTCTCCGGCCGCTGCCACAGCGCCAGGGCCCAAACCCTCCATCTGCTGTAGGTGAACCAAAAACAACTGATAGCAGCTCTCAG